GAGCCCCCCCCCCCCCCCCCCCCGGCCTCTGCTGTGCAGACCCGGCGGCCAAGAACGTGACGCTAGAGCTCGTGAGCAAGCCCGCTGAGGCGCCGGCGCCGCTGGCGCAGCAGCTCAAGGGGCTGTTTGCCGGCCTGAAGCCGGATGCGCCTGCAGCTTGAGCAAGCGAGAGTGGCTGCGAGCTGGTGAGGGCTATGGCGCACGGGCGTGGGTGGCTCGGGTTACCATAGCGGAAGAAGCGTCAGATTGGGTTGGCCTGATGAATCAATGAAATGAAATGCTGGAAAGAAAACTGTAAATCCTGGATGAAATTCCTCCTCTCGTGGTTTTCATTTTTGGGGTGGTGCAAGCTGGGCCGTTGCCTCAGGCCGCTGCCCAAGGCTGCGATTGTCGCTCACTTGCGCCGGGGGCAGTCTGGGCAGGCCTGAGAGATGGGGCGGCCCGGGTGCTGCGGCAAGGAAGGAACATGTGCCGTTTTTAGCCTGCCTGCACCCTGCGAAACACCTCTGCTAGTTTGCAGGCAGCAGCGCTACAGAAATCTTGCCAGCACAGGAGCCGAAACTCACCACACACTTGCTCTTGGCCATCGCCGCCATGCGCGACTTACGAGGGCAGTCGGCGCAGGCGCTGCTCACGGGCCGGCCCGGGTGCACGCAGGAGGTCTTGCCGGGGGCCTGCAGCAGTCAGTCAGTTGGGTGGGCTTGCAAGATAGAAACAGTGGAGCAGCAAAGCCTGCTGTGGGGCGGGTCACCACAGCCGCCGCCCGCCACCGGTGGCTGGGGCTCGGCGGGCAGCCTCAGCGCATTGCACATTGCCCTGCTGTGAGGCCTGCACGCCACGGCCGCCTGGTAGAGGGCCTCACCCCGCGCAGGAGCGGGCATTCCAGGTCGCAGGTCGACTCTGGGGCGCTCTGACTGGCAGCCGCGGACACCCTGACGCTGCGCCGTGCCTGGACCCGCGCCCTGGGCACGGTGGCTGCCAGCGGGGCGCTGCAAACGGCGTGAGAGAGGGCCAGCATTCTGGGCGGCAAGGAGCGGCGCACGGATTGTGGCTTTGGACTAGTAGGTGAGAGGGTGCAATGTGCATGCGTTCCATGGGTGTGGCTCTCGGGCAATGTACCGTGCCATCTGATGTACACGGCCGCCGCCGCCGGCAGCGCTTCCGCTGGTCAGTCGTAACAGCTGGAACGTCAACACCAGTGCAATGGTGAGATGAAAAAGGGGCACGCACAAGTTTCGTGGAAAAGGCGGTGGTGGTCTGGCCCCATCAAACAAAACAAGAGGGTTCCAACGGGGCAGGAGTCAATACACTGTCCGCGGGGCGCGGGCGCATGGTCGGGGGTCAGGCCCAACCATTCGACTTGTCGTCCGCCCATTCTGGGTACCCAACCATCAGGCGCGCCCCCACTTTCTTCTGGCTGCGCAGAGTTGCCCAGTCCACCCGCCGCAGCGACACCTTGCTCCAGCGGGGGCTGTTGGCCACACGCCAGTAGTAGACAGCCTTGGTGTGGTCCCGCAGGGTGGTGAAGATGGTCCAGTCGGTTTCCTTGGGGCCGGTACCGCCGCTGTCGTCCACGCCTGCGCACGGGGGAGAGGGGGCGGGCGCGGGCGCTGTTGAGAGGGGTGCGCAGCGTGCCGTGTGGGCAGCACATCCGGCATGTGCCGATGTGGCCGGCGGCCGCCGCCGTGCAAGGTTGCCGCCGCCGCCCCACCACCCACCCTTGGGGAGGTAGACGGACTGGATGAGGTCGAGGGCGGTGATGAGGGCGGGGTTGGAGCTGCTCTTCAGGGCAAAGCCGGGGGAGATGGGGTCTGTGGCGGCGTGCCACGGCGCCCGCCCCGCCGCATACTTGAGCACCGCGAGGCGGGTGAAGCGGTCTGAAGAGTTGTAGGAGCCGGGGGGCGGGTAGAAGGTGGTGCCGTGGATGGTGGGGTTGAGGGGGGGCACCGAGTAGGGCGGGGAGGTGATCTTGGTCGTCCAGGCATTGTAGTACTGCAGGGTCCAGGCAGGCGGCGGGCGGGGCAGGGCGGGGTGAGGGCCGGGCGTGGGTGGGCGCGGGCGGGCGCGACGGCAGGCGGCGGGGTTGGGCACGGGGTGGGCGCAGCGCGGGACGGCGGGGCAGCCAGCCTGAGCCCGGCTGCCTAGCACGGCGTGGCCGGTGGCAGCACGCGGTGTTCCGCATCCCACGCCGCCACCCACCCACGCCGACAGACGCATATCACACATACACAGCCACAGATGCACAGCGCAGCGCATGTTGACCCTCACCTGCATCTGCTGCGGAAAAAGTGGGTTGTTTGTGAACACCCCCAGGGTGTTGGTGAAGACGTTGAGGCCGTTGGGGCCAAACTCGAGCACGAGCGACTGGTTGTAGCGGTCCCACACGCCATAGTGGCAGGGCACGTAGGGCTTCTTGAAGCCGATGATGGAGGCGGGCCTGAACAGCGGGTTCCAGGTGATCTGCAGGGGGGCACGCACAGGAGCGAGGCGGTGGGTGGGAGCGTGGGTGCGTGCGCTCGCCTGCGTGTGCGGGTGGCGCACTGGCGGTGGACGGCGGCGGCGGCCCGTGTGGCAGGCGGGCAGCAGGCGCCCACCTGGAGCCCGTTGTTGAAGGCGGCCTTCAGCTCCGCCACGGTCCCAAACATGGCCAGAATGTACTGCAGCACGTCGCCTGCACACCAGCAAAGCACAAGGGCAAGGGAGTGGGCGACCAGCCCAGCGGCAGCCTCGCCGCCGCGGCTCCACCGCCGGCGTCCCGCCGACGGCACGGTGCGCAGCAGGCCGGGCTGCGCGCAGCGCAGGCCCCTCCTCCGCCCCTCATCGTACCCTCCAGTACATCCCCCCCGGGCCAGCCAGCTTGGCCGCAGAGCACCCACCCTGGTCGATGGCGGGGCCCGGCTGCGACTTGTTGTACGCGGGCACGCCCGGCGTGTCCAGCTGCCACTGCAGCGACATGCCCAGCCCCGCGCTGTTCACGCCGTCGTTGCACACCCCGGGCCAGTTTTTGATGGACACTTGCTTGATGAGCGGGAAGACGAGTGCGGCGGCATCAAACATCAGCCTGTGGGCGCAGGGCGCGGGCGGGCGGGCACGAGAGCCGGTGGGCGGGCCTGGGCTGAGGCACCGCTGCCAACCGCCAGCCCCGAGGCTGCCGCTGACGGGGGGGGGTCCCCCGCGGCCCGCTACCCAGCCCGAGCCTGGGGGCACCGGCATCGTCCTGCCGCCCCCACACCAAACTGCCAGCTGGCGGGCTCACTTGCGGGCGGGGGAGATACAGACGTAGTTGTACTTGCGCTTGTAGGACCTGCCCAGAGTGCTGTACGTGTTGGTCCCGGTCACCGGGATGAAGGGGTTGTTGACCCCGCTTGGCACCCACGACAGCGCCAGCGGCGGCAGCGACGCAAAGTCCTGAGGCACGGAGCAGGGCGGGAAGGAAGGATTGTGTGTGCATCTGCGGTGGTGCGGCACCGGGTGCACACGGGGCCGGGCTGGCAGGTGGGGGGCGCGACGCGGGCCGGGGCAAGGCGGCGGCGGGCAAGGAGGCGCCTATGCTGGCATACTTTGGCTGCAAGGCTGCCGCATGGCGTTGTCGCGCACCATGTTGCGGGCAGACACAACTTTGTTGCCGTCGGCATAGCTGGCGGAGCTGCATGCGTGTGCCGTCCAGGCTGCGCCAGCGTGGGAGGTGCAGCGGGCGACGGAGAATTTTGTGGGCGGTGGTGCGTAGCCCTGCCCCCATTAACCAGCGGTAGAGCGGCGGGCGGCGGCGGCTCCCGCCCCAGCAAGACAGCGGCTGGCATGCCGGCACCGTGACTCCCTCTGCAAGCACTCACCGGCCAGCGCCAGCAAGCCCAGAACCGGGAGCGCGAATGCTCGTGTGTTCATGGCCAGCAGCACTGGTTGCGACTCCCGCAGTCACGGGCGGAAGATCGTCTCCCTGTCTGCGTTAGATTAGCCCAGTTGAAGCTGCAGAGGCGTGCAGAAAGACTCCAGCCCCGGGGCGCGTCCCCCGTCCAATGCACGTCCAAGTTACGCCGACCCAATGGCGGCTTGTTCAACGGTCTGTGCACTTTTTACTCGCAAATCAAAGAAGCAGGCAAGCGCCGGGGGAGGCGGGAAGGGCAGGACGTGCACGCCGTCAGATGGGAGCGGGATGGGGCGCGGCCGCCAGATCCCGCCAACGCCGCCGCGGGTGCAAGCTTAAGTTGCTTGCATGCAAGGGGGCTGACGCGGGATCAAGCAAGAACCAAACACTGGAGACAAGTGTGCAGGTTGGCAATCACACAAACACACAGCGCCACGGGGTGGGCTCCGCGGGTGAGCCACTGTTGCCACCAGCAGTCGCAACCAAAAGGGCAGGGGCAGTTGCTGGCACTCTCCAAGAGGCAAAACGCCCGCTGCCGGGCGCAGGCAAACAAACCAGTGTCGTGTGTGCGGCGCAAACGGCCCTTGATATGATCTGACACCCTTGCCGCTCTCCTCCCGGACGGCGTTGCTGGCGTTGGCCGGGTCGTCGGCGTCAAGCGGCTGCGCCTGCGCTGTGCCAAGGCGGTGGCCGCTGGCCTGGCCATGCATTTGGCTTGCAGAAGTCCTGCCAATGGTATGGAGAGGGCCTAGCAAGTGGCCGGCTGAAGCTTAGAATGGCAGAAGGCCACTGAGCGGCACGCTGCGACCCGCTAAGCTGGCGGGCTGCCGGGCGGTGCCACGAGACATGGGGCCGACAGGCGCGGCATAGATCGACTTCGACACTTCCTCCTGATGTCGCTGATAGCCTACGGGCTTCGCAGCGTTTCGGTTTGGGGGAAAGGCCGGACACCCAGCCTGGTGCGAGGCCTGCTGTCGCCCGGGCGCACGGCTTGCGGCCTCAGGACAGCGGCTGCTTGCTCAGGGTGGAGGAAGCCGGAAGGGTGGCGCACCCCAGCGCGCGCTGTGAGTTCAACCTGCGGCCGAATCCTTCGCCACGCTGCCAGAATGCCGTGACTGCGCTCAGGGGCAGTGCAGCAGCAGGCGCAGGACGCTGCATGACGGGCGGGGCCTTCTTCCACCGCCGCCACCGCCGCTGCCCGCCTTGCCGCCTTCGCCCCTGCACCCATGCCGCTAGCCTGTGCACGCTCCTTCCTCTTTAGAGTGCTGCTGCTGTACACACTCTGCCTGCAGCCGGAAGCCTCCCTATGCCTGCCCTCCTTCCGGCTGGGCCATCCGAGCACGGCCGAGCACACCCACTCGCTGCCGCCGCTCGGCCCTCACCTGCCGTGCCGCCGCCGCCGCCTGGCCACCCACCACCACAGCTACAGCCAAGCGACGAGCAACACGGACACCGACGATGCTGGGTTTGAGGATGAAAACGGGCCGCCAGAGGGGGCTGCCAGCAGGGATGGCGGCGGCGGCGCAACTACCGCCGCTGCGGCGAGCCTAGCGGCACCTGCGGAGCTACGTGGCGGCGTTCTTTCCAGCGGCGACGACGAGGGGCGGTGGCACGATGCCATGCACCGCGCCCTGATGGAATCGTTGCAGCCGCCGCGCTCGGAGCACCCCACCTGGTGGGGCAAGCGCTTCCACAACCTGCAGGTGTGGTGGTGGTGTTGGGATGCTGGGTTGGCGAGGCCTGAGCTCAGCCACGGCAGCAGGACGCCGGCCGCTTGCCTGCACGATGGCATGAGAGCGATGAGGGAGGCACCAGTCCTGCTGCCGGCCGCGCCACGCCGCCTGCCGCGCCGGCGACCGCCGCCCACTCCACGCTCTGCCGAGCTCCCCACACGGCAGGCTGCGTGCCGCGTGCCCTTCCATGCCGCCCCGCACTCGCCTGCCGACGCTGCCTGCCGCGGCCCTCCTTCCTGCGCCCCCTGCTGCCGCAGTGCCGCATGGCTGAGGTGTTGGAAAGTCGGGAGGCTCATTATGCAGTCATCGGGCTGGTACTGCTTGATCTCGCCATCGTGCTCACAGAGCTGGTGCTCTCCTCCTTCTACCCCTCCCCCGAGCTGGCGCCGCACCTGGGTGGGTGGCGGGTAGACACCGCGCCTGCCGGCCCAGGCGCCAGCCCACAAGCGCACACTCACTCGCACGCCGCCACCGCCGCCATCACGCCACCTCGCCATCCCATCCCCTGCCCACCCTTTGCAGTGCATGTGGCGGAGGAAGCGCTGTCCTACACCTCCATCGGCATCCTGGTCAGTAGCGCCTGGCCCGATCCTCCCCTGCCTGATCGATTTTCCGGCCTGCGCGGTAGCCTGCCTGCACACATACACACATACACATCAAGCTGCTGCGGCCGCGGCACCGCCGCGCCGCCGCTCATCGCTGCCTGCTCCCAGCCCTGGACCCACCCTGCCCCACACCTGGACCCCCTGGCTGTGTGCCTGCGCCTCGCCCTCTCCTGCGCCTCGCCCTTCCCCGACCCCCGACCCGCAGGCCATGTTCAATGCTGAGCTGCTGGCCAAGCTGCTGGTCTTTGGCTTCAAGTACTTCACACACTCCAGGTGGGTGGCCCGCAGCACAGCCGTCCCCTGGGTGCCTGCTGGCGACCGGGACCAGGCCGTCACAATCCCACTGCCCCTCCTCGTCGGCCTTCTGTACTCCTCTTCTCCAGTCTCGGGTGGCACCCGTGCGGCTGCAGCCGGCACATGTGTGCAATGCGCGCCCCTCAACTGCCCCGCCTCTCGTCCCCTGCCCGCGCCTGTTGGCTGCGCCCACCGCAGCTGGCACGTGTTTGATGCGCACCCCCCTAACTGCCACACTTCTCGTCCGCTGCCCCCACCCACGCCCGCCGCAGCTGGCACATGTTTGATGCGGTCATCGTGGTGATCTCCTTCACCCTGGAGCTCAGCCTGCGGGGCGTGGCACAGGAGGTCGCCTCCCTCCTCATCTTCTTCCGGTGCGCCGCAGGCTGGGCGTGGGCGCAGGGAGTTGAGCCGCGCATTGATGCACCCACCGACACTCGCGTGTGCCTGCCGCCCTTCCTTGCTCTGTCTTCATCCCCCTGCCGTGCCCCTTACCCTTGCCCCTGCCCTCCCCTGGTGCCCGGCCAGCCTGTGGCGCATCATGCGCATCATGCACGGCGTGGCCGAGGCCATGGAGCTCAACCACAGCCAGGAGCTGAGCGGGCTGCAGGCGCGGGTGGTGCACCTCGAGTCGGTGAGCGGGGTGGAGGGGGACTGGAGGATGGGGGAGGGAGGGAGGACGGAGGACGGAGGGAGGAAGTGGGAACGGGAGCCAGCCTGCCCGAGCGTGGTCCGGGGACATGCCTGTGCGTGTGCGCTGGACTGCGGGGCGCCACGTCACGCCGCGCAGCAGAGTGCACTGCGGATGCCTCCAGCACCGCGCTGCGCCGCGCCGCCCACGCGCGCCCGCCCCGCTGCGCGCCGCAGGAGCTGTCTGTGAGCCAGCAGAGGGTGGAGGAGCTCGGCCAGCAGGTGGGGCTGCTGAATGTGGCGGCGGCGGCCAAGGGCCTCGACCTGCAGTTCATCCTGTCCACCGCCGCGTCCCAGCAGCAGCAGCTGGCGGCCACCGCGCAGCAGCAGCTGCTGGCGGCGGCTGCGGCCACCGCCTCCAAGGGCATGGAGCTGCAGACGATCCTGGCGGCGGCCGCAGCGCAGCAGCAGCAGGTGGCGGCCGCCGCGCAGCAGCAGCTGCTGGCCGCGGCGGCGGCGGCGGCGGCGGCTGGGGCGCCGCCTCCTGCGCCCCACTCCCCGCAAGACAGGGCTGCCGCCGTGACGATTGCCTCGTCGACGGCGGCAGCGGCGGCGGCCATGCCTCTGCTGAATGGCGGCACCCCATTGGGGCAGCCGGCGCAGCAGCACCAAGACGGACTGCCTGGCAGCCAGCGCAGCGGGCACTCCAGCGACCCTGCCGCGGCAGACGGCACTGGCTGATCTTTGGTGGTCCCGGCAGGCTAGGACAGGGCCGCTGGCTGCCTGCAAGCGCTCGGTGGCGACCCTCCAGAGCCTCTTGACTGTAATTTGTTACTGCTGATCATTATGGTCGCAACCCCCAACAGGACCGCTGATGTTCTATTTCCACTTGTCTATTGGCTGATTGACTGAGCTTTCACACTCGGGACTGTATTGTGAGATTTGATTATTGTAACTGATGCCGCAGAGCTGCAGCTCATCCTGCTGACGAGTGCCCACTCTCGCCGCCCACGGCAGCTGCCGCCAAGCTGCCGACGCCAGCGTGGCGGCTGTCTTGGCACTGCCTCAGCACGCAAGCAGCCTCGCCGCTGCCTACACCTGTGCGGTGTGTGTACTTGAGAAAGCAGCATCGCCGGGATGAATTCGAAAGCGCAAGGAGGGGCTGGAGGCGAGCCTGGCACTCCCTGCCCTGCCCTCATCCCCGATGATCATTTACATCAGACGACCCAGGAAGGGGGATGGAAGCCGATTGGAGGCATGTGGGGCCTCATTTTCACCGCCAGCCTGGCCCCCTTGCAGCTTCCCTCTCCCTTCCCTTCACCTATTGCGAGGGCACTGTCTTGGCACTGCCTCAGCACGCAAGCAGCCTCACCGCTGCCTACACCTGTGCGGTGTGTGTACTTGAGAAAGCAGCATCGCCGGGATGAATTCGAAAGCGCAAGGAGGGGCTGGCGGCGAGCCTGGCACTCCCTGCCCTGCCCTCATCCCCGATGATCATTTACATCAGACGACCCAGGAAGGGGGATGGAAGCCGATTGGAGGCATGTGGGGCCTCATTTTCACCGCCAGCCTGGCCCCCTTGCAGCTTCCCTCTCCCTTCCCTTCACCTATTGCGAGGGCAATAGGTCTTGAAGAAAAGGTTTCCCCCATCAATGGCCATTGCATTCATTTCATTCGCTGCTCTCCCCCTGCACCCCATAGTGTAGTACCAAAAGCGCTAGCCAGGTGCCCCTCATTTCCTGCTCTCCTGCCTTACATCCCCCTGTATCGGACACAAATGGCGCAGATGCTGAATGGGGGCCAGCTGGTTCGCTTGCCCCGAGTGATGTTCGGGCCGCCGCCGCCCGCCCACTTGGCACTGAGTTTGCCCCGGCTGCTCTCTGCAGACTCGTCAGCTCGCCACCCACACCCATCACAGCCATCGATGTCTCAGAAGGTCACCCCCGCTGCAGACTGCACCTCGAAGTGGCCATACCCTCTGGAGAGCGATGGTGAGCGAAGGGGGCGGGCCAGCAAATGGCGTCGGTAGTGCACTCATTTGCTGGGTGGCGTCATTTCCCCGTGCGCACCCCTGCCGCCACCTGCAGGCTGGTTCCGCGCCCACAACGCCCTGCGCGCCGACCTTGCAGCCCTCAGCAGCATGCTCAGGTCATTCCAGCTGCAGCTAGCCGCCGGCATGGCGATCACCCGCTCCCAGGCAGCTAGGGCGTACCGCTTCATCTACTGCTTCCTCAAGTTCCTGCACCACCACCACCGCAACGAGGATGGTGAGTTTGGGACCCTTGCCTGGGTGCTACCAGCATCCAGCCTGTTCCCCAAAGGTGTGTGCTGGTGGCAGGCGTGCCTCGGCGGAATCCTAATCCTGCTGCTCACGCTGCGCCCTCCTCCCACGCTGCTGCTGCCGCCGCAGACATCGCCATGCCCTACCTGGCCACCCGCTTCGCAATTCCAGAGAAGATTGTGGCAGGCCACGGCCAGCTGGAGGTGAGTGGAGGCTGGGGTGGGTGATGGCGCTGGAGCTGGGTCATCCGGCTGCAAGTGGCGCGCATGTACACAGCTGTACACACGCCGCGCCTGCCCTCATTTGACCAGGCTCCTTGCTCGCCCTGTGCTGCTCCCTGCTGGCAGGCGCTGATGGATCGCTTTGACCTGGGCACCAAGAAGCTGCTGGCCAGCACCAACCCAGCAGTGCAGCGCAACCTGCTGGTGGAGGCAGAGGTGAGCCTGCCGACACCTGCTGCAGGCTGCCGTGTGCTGGCTCATGTGCACCTCCTCCTTGCATGCCCACGCTGCAGCCGCTAGGGTGCCGGATGTGTATCAGCCGTGCTTGTTCAGTGTGGCATGCTCACCACCGCACGCTCGCTCTCACCATTGGCGCAGACCGTCTTCATCCAGCTGCGGGCGCTATGCGAGGAGCACTTCCGGGATGAGGAGGAGGAGGCGATGCCGCTGATGCGCCGCCACTTCACCCCCAAGGAGATTGAGCGCAATGTGGTGCAGAAGATCATGCGCAGCATGGACGGCGAGGGCGTGGGCGCCTTCCTGCGTCCCATGAGCAAGGCAGAGCGCCGCGCGTTTGCCCGCCAGGAGGGCATCCCGTTCTTCATCCGCTGGATCCTGTTCCGCCACGCCGCCAAGTACGAGCGCAACGTGTGGCAGCCCTTCCAGCGGGAGTGCCTGGCGGCGGTGCGCTGCACCAGCGCACTGCGCCGGCAGCACTGAAGCTGCCAGCTTGGAAGACAAGGGCCGACACGCATAGACGCAGCCCTCTCCCTGCCTGATCTGTAGCCGCTGACTGCTGGAACATGCCGGCAGCGGCATGATAAACAAAATCCTGTACACAACGTGGTTGGCGCCATTGTGGGCTCAATCTCTCTCGCTCCGCTCTGTACCTTGCCCATGCTTTTGCTTTTTGTGTTTACAGTCTGCACATCCGCAAAGGAACTTGCGACACAGACATGCATCGATTAAGTTTAAGTAAGAACAAGTGATTTTACTCTTTGAGTGTTTCTACTCGTCTATTCTTTTGAGGTATCGATCTGCTGTAATTTTTCTTCTCTGGCACGGGTCCCGCCAGGGCGGGTGGCAGCTCAGCAATACGGTTGCACATGGAGGCAGGGGGCATGGGGCAGATTGCATTCTAGAGCTGCTGCATACCAGTACCCTGACATCAGATGTAGGCGAGTTTGCTCACAGGGGGATGGGGGAGATGAGCGGTGCACAGCACGGAGCCTGATGACGTGTCGGCGCCAAGAGCAGAAACTTCCCGCCCTGGCACAGCCCCGGGATGCTGCTTCTCCAACAATGGCTGAGCTGATCAACCCCTCTCCAGTGGTGCACGAGCGCAAGGCCACCCGGCGACGAGTTGCGGTGAGCGGGGAAGGCTGCCTCTGCTGCTGATGGATGTGCAGGCTCCAACACACGGCGTGAAGATGCATGTCGCTTGCCCCGCGCGCCTGCCTGCAGCGAACGCCTTCCCACCCGGACAATGCGGAGGAGCGGGAGCCTATCGACTCCCTTGAGGTGTTCGAAGTGAGGTTCAGAGGTCGTTGATCGCGGCGGAGCCGGCAGCGCCACAGCGCTTTTGCTGCTGGACAGCCCGCCGCCGCCTCCCGCCCCACCTCTCCTCTGCATACCGCACCACCTTCCTGTCTGGGGCCCTGGGGTTTGCAGCACATCCGCGACATCACAGATCCGGAGCACCCCTACACCCTGGAGCAGCTCAATGTGGTGACCGAGGAGCAGGTGGAGGTGGACGATGCGGCTGGCACGGTCAAGGTGGGCGGTTGTGGCACGGGTCTGGTGTGGAGGCAGAGAGGCGTGTGCGCGCCAGCAGCGCTGAGCCAGCTGTAGCAGGCAGGAGCCCAATGCCAGCTGCCGGCGAATGCAGCAGCTGTAACCCTGCTGATCGCTGCACCAGCAGGCATTGCAGCGGGAGCTGCTGGTCGCTGCCCGCTGCCGCCGTATGACCACCGCCGCCGCCGCCATTGCCGGGTGCAGGTGCAGTTCACGCCCACCGTGGAGCACTGCAGCATGGCCACGCTGATCGGGCTGTGCATACGCGTCAAGCTGCTGCGGGCGCTGCCGCCGCGGTTCAAGGTGCGGCAGCGAGCCCCCTCGCTTGCATCTGGCTGCCTGTTGGACGGGCTGCTGCAACACGCTTGGCCGCAGCTGCTCTGCTGTTGCCCCAGCGTCGCGGCAACCCGCCCGCTGCTGTGGGATGCTGCTGCTGCTGCGCAGGCCGACATCCTGCTGTCTCCAGGCAGCCACGCCAGCGAGGCGGCGGTGAACAAGCAGCTGAGCGACAAGGAGCGGGTGGCGGCGGCCCTGGAGAACCCCAACCTCACCCAGGCGCGCCTGCCTGCCGCCTGCTGCTGCACCGGTGCACACGCTGCTGCCTGCCTGTCCGCTGGCATGGAAGACTGGGCTGCCAGCCTGCAGCATTGAAGATTGGGCAATGGTTGTTGTAAGAGCTGGTGCTTTCCTTTTGTGCAGATGGTGGATCGCTGCCTGGGCACCAACCTGTAGGGCGGCCCGTACTCGCCCGTCAACCAGCGCTGCTCAGCAGCCAGCCGCCTGCACGCTGCTCGCCCCGATTGCTGGCGGCCTTGCTTCCCGCTTTGTCGCTCCCGCTTCGCTTGCTGCTGCCTTCTGTTGCTGCTTGTCTCTCCCGCTTTCCCCGCCCCCTCTGCTGCTGCTCCGCTAGTTCCCTGCTCTGGTTCCCCCTTCTCCCTTCAGAAGTTACTTTCACATTGCCGCTCTGCACAAATTATTCATTGTCAGTCAATGTAACAACAGCAGTTTTCATCACCGAAGGAAAGAATGTCGATGATCAGTGTCGAGGTGCAGTGCAAAGCAGCAGCCTGGGTGCGACCGATTGCAGCAGCAGGGAAGGCGGAGCCCGCATCACCGCTTGCCCGCCACCACGGCACACTCTCGCGGCAGCTGGGCGGCGTCTGCGGACAGGTCCCACAGCTGCGCCGCCAGGGTGGCATCATAGGTGAGGGGCGCCGAGGGCACGCAGCGCGTGCCGCTGCACAGCCGCCCGCCTGCGCCACGAGCAAGGGGCAGAGCGCGGCAGGCAGGCGAGCAGGTGACGTGCTGTGCTGTTGAGACAGTGGGGGGAAGCGCACAGCCAGCGGTGGGAGGGCAAAGGACACTCACTGCTGAGGTTGCGCAGCGGCCAGTCCAGCAGGCTGTGCACCAGCGTGACCAGCCCCCAGGCCCCTTCCCGCAGCCTGTCCGCCGCCCCTCGCCGGGGCGTGCCTCGCCAGCTGGTGACGAGCGGGGACGCAAACAGGCCTCGGGCGTAGTACTGCAGGCGGGGATTGGCGGGCCAGGGAGGGAGGTGAAGGGGGTCAGGGAGGAAGTTTACAACTTGGTGTTTGCTCTGCTTCAGCCCAGCCCAGCCCAGGAAGCTGTGTGCACCAGGACGCCATGCCACGCTGGCATCCCTCACCCGAAGGTCTGGCAGCGGCCGTGCGGCCGAGGTGTGGCGGCTGCCGCTGCCGCTGCCGCGGCCCGCCCAGCGCGCGTTGATGGCGGCCGCCGCGGCGCGGTCCTGGCCCCAGGGCACGGTGGCGGCATGCACCACGGCTGCCGCGCCGTCGCTGGCAGGCGCATAGATGTTGTTGATCACCCAGCTGCACGAAGAGGCGGGCAGGAGCGGGCAGGCGAGGCGGGCAGGAGTTGCAATCATGCACCAGGTTGTGGCAGCCACAAGGCACTGAACACAAGGGGCCAGCAAAGCTGTTCGTGGTATGGCAGGGTGCGAAAGGCGCATGCCTCCCGCGCCTCACCTGAATGGCGGCTTGGCAAACATGGAGTGCTCCCAGATGCTGGTGGCCACGCCGCCTGGGTCAATCGCGCAGCTCTGCGGGACAGGCACACAGCAGGCAGGCGAGGCGGGCGGCGGTGAGGAGGCGCGCCACCCACTGAGCCGCGCCAGTGTGCCGGCAAGAAAGCAAGAGTCGGGGAGGCGTTGCGCCCATCCAGCCAAGGGCCCCACACACCGCCTGTGAACATCTACTCACTCGAACAATATACACACACGGACAAACACACAGTGCACAGGCGCCGACAGCCCGCCCAGCCCGCCGCACGGCCGCCAACCACACCCAGCAGGCAGCCCGGCCCGCACCTGCACGCCGTGCTGGCCCAGGCGGCGCTGCGCCTCGTAGGCAAACAGCACGTTGGCCAGCTTGGTGGATGGGTAGTAGCTGCCCGGCCTCCAGCTTTGCAGGAACTTGCCCGCGTCGCCCACCCAGCCATAGCGGTGGGTCACTGAGGAGAGGTTGATGACCTGGCGGGGAGGTGTGTGCAAAGGCAGGAAGGCAGGCGGGGAGGTGTGAAAAGGCAGCCAGGGAGGTTTGAAAAGGCAGGCAGGCGGGTGGAAGGCAGAGGCAGGCGGAGCACACCCCAGAGCAGGGGCGCCCAGCTGTTGCTGGCTTGCGATGGGCGCCGTGCCACAGCCTGGGAGCCGGCCGGCCACCTGCCGCCTCACCCGCGCCGGCGCCGACCGCTGCAGCGCGCCCTCCAGCAGGCGGGTGAGGGTGTAGGGCCCCAGGAAGTTGACCAAGCATAGGCCGCCCACACCCTCGGGCGTGTGCCACGGCCGCTGGTAGTTGGTGCCTGCGAGCGCCAGGCAGCCTGGGCGGCGGGCCGGGTGGAAGCGCCCGCAGGCATTCGGCAGCCGCTGGGGGGTGGCCTCCCTCCCGTGCCTACCGCTCCTCCGCCACACAGCTGAGGTGGGGCCTCTCGCCCTCCTGCTGGGGCCTCTCGCCCTCCATACTCACCCGCATTGTTCACCAGCACATCCAGGCGCTGCCCCGTGCGCTTGTATGCCGCCGCAAACTGGCGCACCGACTCGAGCGAGGCCAGGTCCAGCTGGGGCCCCACCTCCACGCGTGCCCCCGGGTGCTGCCGCCTGCGCGGGGCATGGGACCACGTGACGGCGGGTGGGGACGGCGGCGGCGGCGACTGTGCTGGGAGCACGTGCCGCAGCAGGGGGGTGCCGCATCTCGGCATGCTGCGTGGTTGGGGAGCGCCAGAGGGCCACTGAGCGGGTGGCGCACCTGATGTCTTGCGCCACATGCTCCGCCAGCGGCAGGTTGCGGCAGGCCAGCACGACATGGGCTCCCTTGGCTGCCAGCTGGGCGGCCGCCTCCCTGCACGATGCGGGCAGGTCGGAAGGGAGCGCCAGAATGCTGGAAGGGGCGATGCGGGCGGGCAGCGAGCCGCCGCCGCCGGCCGCCGCCGCTGCGCTTCCATTCCTTGCCTGCCAATGCCGTTGGTGCTGCCCGTGATGACTACTGTCTTCGTGGCGATGTCCCAGGATTCCAGGAGGGGTTCTGGCACACCAGCCATCGCCGCTGGCACTTGGTGGACGATGGTGGCGGGGAGCGGCTGGCGGGGCTCAGAGACCTTCCAACCACACCCTGTGAGTTGCAGGGAGCGATCACGAGGAGCAATGCGCGTCCCCGCATTGCCCTCCTCGCCATCCCGGGCAAGAAGGTTGAGTTGGTGCATGTGAACTGCTGTCGGCGCTCCTTCCCCCGCAGTCGTCTGCACAACATGGCGGCCGTGTGTGGAGTTGCTGCAGCCGTGGTGGCGGACAGGATGGCCGCTCCCCTGGCCTCCACAAGCAGCCGGGTGCTGGCCCCCGTGAGGTGCAGCGTGCAGCGGCAGCAGCGGCGCCACAGGCGTGCCCTGCATGTTGCGGCCGTCGCCAGCCCCGTGAAGCCGGCGGCTGGCAAGGCCGGCAAGGCCGGCGTGCCGATCAGCCCAGAGGACGCAGCAGCCCTCTACTCTGACATGGTTCTGGGCCGCGAGTTTGAGGAGATGTGCGCCCAAATGTACTACCGCGGCAAGATGTTTGGCTTCGTGCACCTCTACTCCGGCCAGGAGGCGGTGTCCACTGGTGCGCCGCCGCCGCCGCCGGCGTGGCAGCCGGGCAGCCCGTTGCCGCCTGCTGCGCTGCCTGCCTCCTGACTGCAGCCGTGCCTGCCGCTGCTGGGAGCGCAAAGCACCGCCAGCCAACCAGCGCCCAATCTGGCACAGCGGTTATTGTTTTCTGGCGGCGCTCGGTGCTGCCACGTGCCGCGTCCGAGCGCGGCCGTAGCGCCAGTTTGCCAGCCGGGCTGGCCGCCCGCCTGCCTGCCCTCCGCCAGCGCTGGAGGCAGTTGTCGCACCAAGGCAGCAGACGCGCGCAATGAGACTGTGCCCCTTCCGCCACTCCTGGAACGGTCCGCCGCCACCAGGCCAGCCGCACCCCCAGCCGCCGCTCGCACGCCCACGCAACCGTGCCCGCGCCGTGCGTCTCCCTGCCTGCCGCAGGCGTGATCAAGGCGTGCCTGCGCAAGGACGATTTCATCTCCTCCACCTACCGCGACCACGTGCACGCCCTGTCCAAGGGGGTGTCCGCCCGCAAGGTGCACCGGCGGCACGCGCCCGCCACACCACACCGCGGCAGCAGTTGCAGCAGCCGCAGCGGCAGCAGTTGCAGCAGCCGCAGCGGCAGCAGCTCGGCCTAGCCACCCAGCCGGCAGCGAGGGGTGCGGGGCGTGGACGCGCCGCTGGACTGCTCAGCCGGAGCCCCGGCTGGGCTGGGCAGCCAGCCAGCTGTGCCGCGATGTAGCGTACCGCGCTGTACCTGCTGTGCTGCGCTCGCTAAGCCGCCTGCTCTGCCTGCGCTGCCCTGCCCTGTGCCCTCAGGTCATGGCCGAGCTGTTTGGCAAGAAGACGGGCGTGTCGCGCGGCCAGGGCGGCTCCATGCATTTGTTCGACCGCGAGCACGGCCTGGTGCGCCGCGCTGCGCTGCGCTGCGCTGAGTATCGCTCCGCCGCAGCTGGGGAGCAACAGCGAGGGAGCCAGCCGCTGGCAGCCGCCGGCCCTTGTATGCCTGCGCTACCCTTCACGCCTCTTTTCCACCGCGTGTCTTCTCGAGCGCCCCTCCCGCCTTTCTCACGCACCCTTGCCCACCTGCCTCCCTGCCTTCCCTCCCTCCCCTGCCCTGCACGGTGCCGCGCCCTCGCGACCGCCATCCCTAACCTGCCCGCCTGCCTGCCTGTCTGCCTCCCTGCAGCTGGGCGGGTATGCCTTCATCGGCGAGGGCATCCCCATCGGCCTGGGCGCCGCCTACCAGGTTGCGTACAGCCGGCGCGTGCTGGGCAACGAGAGCGACGACCGAGTGGCGGTCAACTTCTTCGGGGACGGCACCTGCAACGTCGGTGCGTACCCCCCGCTCCCACTTTGCCTAGTCGCGGTTGGGCGGGCGTGTGTGCGCCGGGTCCGGGTCCCGCTCCCAATGGGCGTTGGGTTCAAGCCGTTTTCAGGGGCCCCCGCCGCCTGCCTGCCGCTGCCTGCTGGCACACGCCACGCGCGCTCGCCGCCGACGTGTACCGCCACGTGTACCGCCCTGCAGGCCAGTTCTACGAGTCCCTCAACATGGCCACCCTCTACAAGCTGCCCTGCATCTTTGTGGTGGAGAACAACAAGTGGGCCATCGGCATGAACCATCCGCGCGCGACCGCGCCCTCGGGCATCGCCGACAATGAGCCGTGGATCTACAAGAAGGGCCCCGCCTTTGGCATGCCGGGCGTGCACGTGGACGGCATGGATGTGATGAAGGCGGGTGCCGGGCGGGGAGGCCGGTGGCGGGAAGGCTGGTGGTGTGCGGTGTGGCGGCAGCGGCTGGTGTGGGGCGCTGGCGTGGCGTGGCTGGCGCATGGCGAAGAGTGTGGCGAGGGGCAGCGCCGACGCGGGCAGCACGGGTGCGGCAGCGGGCAGGCGTGCATCTCTCCGCCGATCTTGGCCTGTGCGGGCCCAGAGCCCAGCCTCAACCGTCCAATCCCCCTCTGCCCTGCCTCCCCTGCCCCTCCTCTCCCCTCCACTGCCGCGGTGCAGGTGCGTGAGGTGGCCATGGAGGCTGTAGAGCGGGCGCGGCGCGGCGAGGGCCCCACCCTGATTGAGGCGGAGACGTACCGCTACCGCGGCCACTCGCTGGCCGACCCGGATGAGCTGCGCCGCAAGGAGGAGAAGGAGCACTACGCGGTGGGTGGGTGGGTGGGTGGGTGGTGGCGCTGCTGGGGCGGTGTGCTGCTGCTGGCCTGCTGCTATGTGTGCTGCTGTTGCTGCTGGGATGCTGCTGTATGCTGCTGTTGCTGCTTCGGATGGGCTGCTGCTTGGCCGGTGCCGTGCTGCGGCTGCTGCTGCCATGCGGCCAGTGGCTGCCTGCCACTACAGATCTGTACCTTGCCGAGTGGCTTGACGCCGCCTCCCTGCTTGCTCCCCTGCCCTGCCCCGCCCCGCCCTTCCGTCCAGGCCCGCGACCCCATCCCCCAGTTTGCCAAGTACATGGTCGCCAACGGCCTGGCCACCGAGAGCGACATCAAGGCGCTGGAGGCCAAGGTGAAGGAGGTGGTGGACGACTGTGTGGAGTATGCGGAGAACTCGCCCAAGCCGGTGAGCGGCTGGGGGGGCCGCCGGTGGAGGTGTGCGTGGTGTGTGCGTGGCCGCTGAGGGTACCAACGGCTGCTGCTCGCCAGGCCGCCGCTGCTGCGAGCTGTTATGTGCCAAGCTCGAGGCCGCGCAGGGTCGGGGATGCGAAGCCGGGCCCAGGCTTGCCAGACCCAGCGGCCCGGGCCGCGCCTCACCCACCTTGCTGCCCGCTGCCCGCCTGCCCCCCGCAGGACATGAGCCAGCTGCTGGAGAATGTGTTTGCTGACCCCAAGGGCTTTGGTATCGGCCCCGACGGGCGCTACCGCTACGAGAACCCGGGCTTCACCGCCGGCACCGCAGAGGTCGGCACAGTGGGGGTGGGGTGGGGTGGGGCTGGCAGGGAGCAGTGGCAGTGGTCTGGAGAGGAGGCGCGGTGGCAGGGGTCCAGGGAAGGGGCGGGATGGTGGCGCAGCGTGACGCAGCGGCGTGCGGGCAAGGGGCGGACGGGCGGAGGCGGCAGCTGGGGTGCCGAGGCGGGGGCGGCGCGGGGCTGGCTGCGGGCTGCCGGCTGCTGCTGGCCTGGAATACAGCTGCGGCTGCCTGGCTGACCCCCGCTGCTGCTGGTCGCCGCCCTCCTGCCCGCAGGTGTCGTAAGCAGCTGGACCTGCCTGTCGCCTGGCCCCCACCTCGTACCCTGTGTGACACGTGTGACAGCTCAGCAGGCGGCTCTGGAGCGGCCCCCGTTGCCGCACTACCCCCCATTTCATTTGCTTCATCCCTCCAGTGAGGCGCCCGGCCTCACCTCCCTCGGTTTCTCCTCGGGCCGCCCTCACGTCGCCCCTACGCTGCCGCAGCGCGGCGAGCCAGGGCGCCCTTACCTCTGCGCTTTGCTTGTTTTTGGGGGCGCTCTGCAGCCGCCTCTGGTGTGAGGGTGTTGCTTTGGGCGCACTCTCTGCAACCACACCACCTCTTCCCCCGCCTGCACTCCTCTCCCTCCCCCCCTTGCCGTCAGCTTGCGGTCGGACCCTTTCCTCCCTGGTGCGCTGTGCCCTGCATCATCTGTCCATGCATGTATACCTACCAGCCACCCCATGAAATGAGAACTAACTGATACTGTGTGTAAAGCCTCGAGGCAGCTCGCCGATGAGAGTGCTGCCGGGGTCTGTTTAGCTGATGTCAACAAAATCAGTCTGGAAGTGTGTGGCTGGGATTGGACCCGCCCGTCGATGGCGAACCTCCCCAACACCCGGTGCTTGTGCTCTCCTTGATGGGCTGGGTAAGCAGCAGTCTGCAGAAATGCCGCTCGGCACAGACTCGCTGCCATCATGCCCAGCAGTGGGCGCTCAGCTGGAGCCAGGCGAGATCATCATGTGGGTGTTTGATTATCTTTCCAGCAGGCCCCTCGCCTTGCCATTTCAACAGTTGAAAATGACACGTGGCGCAGCATGAGAGCACGACAGTCGTAACGCTCGCAGGCGAACCGATCAGCAGCGACCCATGCCCCGCCTGCATTCCCTGGCGCCTCATCTGGGCTCAGCAGCCATGGTGGCTTGGAGGACGCTTGCTGTTACGGCCCTGCTGCTGTGTGCAGCCAGGGCCGTAACCGCGACCCGTGCGCGACAAGTGTGCTACATCACGAAGTAGGGGACTGCTGCGGGGTGGTGTGCTTGTGGCCTGAGTCCGGTCCTGAGCAGCTTGGGGCAGCGGGCCAACCCACTGATCCGCCCTCTGCACCGCTTCACCTGCCTGCAGCTGGGCGCAGGTGAATTGCGTGCCGAGAAGAGCTCGCGCCGGGCAGCAAGGCCGCCGGACAGCTGCCCCCAGCCGCCAGCAGCCCTGCGCTGTCTGCCGCCGCCATGCGTGGCCGCCGCCGCCATGGGCCTGCATTGCTGTCATGTTGACCGACACCCCGAGCCTCGGCGCTGTGGAAGCAGCATTACAGCAGCTTCGCAGTTCTTTGCTTCGCCAGGAGCAGGGCAATTGGCCCCGCGGCTGTTGCAGGCTGGGGCCGATGCCACCAAATGCCGTTCCGCTCGCCCGCCTGCAGTATCGCTCGGGCAGCGTGGGCGGCAAACCCTGCCCCTGGAGGCCCAAGAACCTGAACGCCACGCTGTGCACCCACGTCAACTATGCCTTCGCCTTTATGAACCCAGGTGAACCCGCCTTCGCCGCGACCTGCGGGCGGCGCCGCCACGAGTTGCTGGCAGGCTCAACGCGGCGCCCAGCCGCTTTTCCCGCTGCCATTGGCCATGCAGCCCCAGGCCCCACCCCCCTTCACTGTCTCTGCTGCCTACGCCTTCTTTCCATGCCTCTCTACCTCCTCCACCTCTACCCGTCACTCCTCTCCACGGCCACCTGCTGCGAGCTCGCAGACTACTCCCTCAAGCCCATTGAGTACAACGATGTGCCCTCGCCCGACAGCCCCGGCACCGTGTCCCTCTACCAGGAAACCATGGCCCTGAAGAACAAGAACCCAGACCTGAAAGTCCTCATCGCCGTGGGCGGCTGGTGCGCGGCGGGAGGCGGTGGCTGCCGGCAGCTGGCCTGCTGCAGCTTGTTTATGCATAGCGTTTACTCCTGGTTTTCTTCCCCGTCCTCCCTCCCTGTGGCCGGCCCACTTTCAGGAGCATGAACGAGCCCTGGTCCTCCTACGTGAACCTCTTTGCCAACGCCGTCAAGCCCGCCAACCGCGCGGGCTTCATCTCCAAGTGCATCGCCTTCCTGGAGCAGTGGGGCTTCGACGGGTGCGACGGCTGGCTGGCTGGCTGGCTGGCTGGCTTGGGCAGGACGGCCTGCTGCATTGGATGGGTGGCTGGCTGGCTGGCCGTGAAGACGTCCTGGCAGTTGGGGCATGCAAGGGTGGCTGTGTTTCTGGAGCACGCACGCTGGCTGCCTGCTAGTGGGAGGCAGGGGAGGTGGGCAGGCATGGCGCCTGCCTGGCACCCACACCCTGGCCCGCCTGGCTGCTTGCGATGAGGACCTGCAGGCTGGACATCGACTGGGAGTATCCAGGGGATCTGGCACGTGGTGGTACCACCGGGGACAAGGCCAACCTGGCGGCTTTCTTCAGGGGTGAGGAGGGCCAGCTGTCCGCCGGGGCAGAGTGTGGACCGTCAGAGCAAGAAAGGCAGGCCAGGCTCAAGAGCTTGCTGCTCCATTTATCCTGTCTGCTGCCGCTGCTGGGCGCCCGTCCCGCAATGCACAGACCACCACCATGCACCTACACCGGTACCTTCCACCCTGCAGAGTTCAAGGCAGAGGTGGCTCGGCGCGGCAAGAGCTACCTGCTCACTATGGCCACCGGCGCGGGGCCCAGCGGCTGGCAGGGTGCGCCGGGCGGCCGCGCTTGCGCTTGCCTGCCCGGCTGGCTGGCTTGAGCAGCGTGCCGGCGTGCTGCGGCTGGCGAGTTTGAGGGCGGCTGGGCGCCTGCCGGGGGCCGCTGGTGCATGCCCGCCCGCCTGGGCCGCCCTCCCTCAGGCTCACACACACGCACTCCAGCATCACACTCCACCATCCCCGCCACACACAACAGTCCCCACTGCCTGCCCCTCCCTCCTCGCCAGGCTTGGACCTGCCCCAGCTGGGTCAGTCCCTGGACTTCATCAACATCATGACCTACGACTTCCACGGCGCCTGGGACCAGGCCGTCAACTTCCACACGCCCTGGAAGGACCCGCTGGTGTGTGGTGTGTGTATGTGTTTGTGTCCATGTGCGGGCATGTGCCCACGCCTGCGCTGTGCTGTCGTAGTTTTCGCTGTGCATTGGTATCACACCACTACGTGGTGGTGTTTGGGTGGATGGATGTGTTGTGTATGGGGGCGTTGCCGCGGTGGGCGCGGGGCACGGTGTCGGAGTGGCCAGGGGCCTGGAGTGGCACGTTGCCGGAGTGGCCAGGGGCCTGCACCACCCCCCCACCCCCCACCTGACCCAACCACTTCCCACCGACCCGGCAGGGCGGCACCCTGGACATCGAGACTGCGCTGCGCCACTACATTGACGAGGGGCAGGTGCCGCCCAGGTGCGGGGCAAGGGCGGGGGCTTGCGGCACACACACGCTGCTGCTGCGCGGGCGGCAGGCAGCTGTGCAGCTGTGCTGTCCTCCACCTACCCACCCACCCGTCGCCCTTGCGTGCCTGCCCACACACTCGCCCACGCACCCTCCACACCACCCACACTCCACATACGCGCACACACACACACACACTCTCCCCCATGTGCCCCCGCAGCAAGATCAACCTGGGCATTGGCGCCTACGGCCGCTCCTGGACGCTGGCCGACCGCACCAAGTCCACGCTGGGCTCGGCGGCCTGGTCGCCGGGGTCTGCTGGCGCCTGCACCGGCGAGGCCGGCTACATGAGCTGGCAGGAAATCAAGCAGCTGATTGCCCAGGGCGCCAAGGTGGGGGGCGGGGCGCTGGCGCTGGAGGGCGCTGGGGGCGCGCGGCTGGAGGTTTGCGGGCGGCTGCTGGGCGGCTGCGTCACGTGCGCTAGGCGCGGTCGGTCGCGAGTGCCGTGCCGCTGCCCTTGCCAGCCCCCAAACCCTCCCCTTCCAAGCCTCCATCTGCCCTGCACACCCTGGGCCTCCTGCCTTCTTTCAGTTTTCACTGCCCTACATGTATCTCTTATGCGTATGGGGTATCCCACCTGTATCCCACACCCGCAGGTGACCATCGACGAGGGCGCCATGGCCGCCTACATGGTCAGCGGGTCCACCTGGGTGGCCTTCGACCTGCCCCAAACCATCTACATGAAGATACTGGCGGCCCGCAAGCGCGGTCTGGGCGGCCTCATGGTGGGTTTGCCTGCACGTGTGTGTGTGGGCCTGATGGTGTGCGCGTGTGTGTGGTGTGTTGGGCCTGGCGGGGAGAGGCAGTATGGGCTGGGCGGCCTCGTGGGTGGGTGGGTGGTGCTTGTGTGGTCGTGTGGCTGTATTGGGTGTGGACGGGCTGGCGGGAAGAAACAGCGGGGAACAGCGGGGCTTTGGATGGGAGGCCCGGCGGCGCCTGCCCGGGAGCGGCAGGGTGGGGCTGGCTTGGGCCGGCCAGCTTGGCAAGGCGAGGCGCCTGCTCTCACCGCCTGCCGCCTGCGCGCCTGCGGTACAGCTGTGGGACGCTTCCCTGGACGACAGCAGCGACACCATCATGAGCCTGCTCAAGTACCAGGAGGATCCTGGCCCGTACCTGGGCCCAAGCTCCACGCCAACCTCCAGCGTGAGACGCCGGCAGCCGCCCTGCGCCTGCCGCTGCCGGCCTTGCGCGCCGCCCTGTGCCGCCGCCAGGGCGCCATCGTTCGCGTGCTGTGCAGCCGTTGGGTGCCCGTGTGCTGCCCTTGCTTGCCTGCGGCACCTCTGCCGGGCAGGCAGGCCTGCGCCGCCCTCCCGATAGGCGGTTAGGGTGCGCGCAACTTCAGCTCACCCACCCACTCTGGCTTGTGCCCACATTGGCTGCCAACGCCCTGCCGCCCTGCCTCCCTCGCAGCCGCCCCCGCGCCCCCCGCCCTCGCCTTCCCCACCCCTGCGGCCTCCCTCCCCCAGCCCGCCGCCCTCGCCCAAGTCCCCGCCGCCGTTCCCCAGCCCGCCGCCGTCCCCCGCCCCCTCCCCCAGCCCGCCGCGCTCGCCGCCGGCGCCCACAGGCTCTCCCTGCCAGCAAGGCGATGCCAAGTGCTTCTGCGAGTGGGTGGGCAAGCCAGGCATGTTTGCAGACGTGGCCGCCGGCTGCCAGGTGCGGCTGCCCCTGATCAATCTGCTGGTCTGCGCTGCGCCCGACGTGCTGCGCCGTGCCTGCTGTGCTTGCTGTGCTGTGCTGTGCTGCGCCATGCACGCTCTGCCAGCTAGCACCGCCCTGGTAGCCAGCCTGCCGCGCTGCCCGCCTGGCGTCTCGGCTCGCAGCCCCCTGCCGTGCGCATCACGGCACGCCGCCATGCCGCCCGCCGCCGCTGGCCTGGCGCAGGCGTTTTTCGAGTGTGCTGCTGGGGTGCTGCCGTCCTGGCGGCTGTGCCCTCAGGGCCTTGAATTCAACGAGGCCACCAAGGTGTGCGACTGGGCAGACAACGTGGAGTGCCAGGCAGCCGGCAAGCCCGCCGTGCAGGCGTCGCCGCCGCCGTCCCTGCGGCCGTCGCCGCCGCCGCGGCCCCGGCCGTCGCCGCCGCCCTCTCCCCGCCCGTCTCCCTCCCCGCCCCGCCCATTTCCCTCCCCACGGCCACCTCCGCCATCAACGTCACCCCCAGGGGTGAGCCTCGCACTGCCCGCCTGCCAGCAGGAGGCAGACGATGCCTGCAACCACCAGCCTGCTGCCAGTCTTGTCCCCAGGCCAGCACCTCGCCACCTCCCCCACCGCACATCCCGCCCCACCACTGCCCTGCCGCAGAGCCTGCCCTTCTGCGGCTTTGGTCGCGTGGGCTCCGGCGCGTGCCGGGATGCCACCAAGTGCTGCAACAAGGCGGGGCGCTGCGGCTACTGTGAGCGGCCGCCGCCGCACCTGCCCCCGGCCTGCCTTGCCGCCTGCTGGGGGGCAGAGCTGGGCATCTGCCGGCAGGCGGGTGTGCGGCAGCCACGGCGGTTCACTGCATCCAGCGCTGCATGCAATCTGATGGGAGAGCAGCAGGCATGCGACCCACATTCGCCCTATCTATTCCCACCACCACACACCTCCCCCGCCTGCAGCGAGCTCCTACTGCGGCAGCACCTGCATCGGCGGCCCCTGCACGGCCAAGCGCCCGCCGCCGCCGGCCCCGATCCGGCGCCCGCCGCCGCCCACCTCCACCAACACCAACGTCAACAGCTCCAACATCAACTTTGATGGTGAGAGGCGTGCACCCTAACGCACCCCCACCTCACCCCAGTTTGCCCCATTCGGCATGGCAGCTGCCCCCGCCGCGCCTGCTTCCCGGCAATTGTACCCATGGATTGGCTGCCTTCTGCCGCTGGTTGCGGGTGGCAAGGCCGGGCATGCGCTGAGCCGTGCCGCACGGGTGCCATGGTGCCGCAGGGGCGTTCTGCGGTGGCGGCAGCGTGGGCAACGGCATCTGCGTGGATGCCACTCTCTGCTGCTCCCTGTGGGGGCACTGCGGCACCGGCTTCGAGTTCTGCAGGTTGGAGTGGGGAGGCCGTCGGGGCGTGGGCGCTCGCCGCCCTGCCGCCGCCTGCTTGAGCTGAGCTGCTCGAGTGCATGATGTGCTGCGCTGGGGGCGGTGAAGCATTAGCCTGGCAGCAGCTGCTGAGCGCTATCCAGCCCACCCACCATCCTAAAAAAAACCGCTGGTCTCCTGGGTGCAGCTCGGACAAAGGCTACTGCATGGGGGGACCCTGCCAGGACTACAGCGGGCGCCCCATTGCCCAGGTGAGCCGGGCACACTGCCCGCCACGGCGACTGCTGCTACCACCTGCCGCCCCGCCAGCTGGTGCTGCCGCCGCCATTGCTCCCTGTGCTAGCTCCTAATGCTGCTGCCGCTGCTGTTGCCTGCAGTCCAAGCCTGTCAACAATGGCACCACGCTGTTCGACAACGCCATCGATTACCAGCAGTACAGGTGCGGTACAGGCTGCTGCTGCTGTGGTGACGCTGTGACCTGGCAGGCCGCCCGCGAGGCGCAGCTGCTGCTGAGCTGCTTGCACCAGCATTTGGCCGACTTTCATGCGATGCGCTGCGACACGAGCCGTCGATCTGTTTAGCCTAATGTTGCTGTTGCCCTCCCCGCCCTTCATGCCGCAGCATGCTGAAGGGTGCCATGGGAGCGCCCGCCTATGGGGCGCGGTGATGGCAGATGGAAGCATGGCAACACCCGCCCCGAGTGTGGACCTCTGCATGGTGCCGTGCTGTGCCAACACCAACCGGCAACCACACACTGTTTTTGCTCCACTTCCCCGGCGGTACCCCGACCAAAGCAGCTGCACAAGACCGACCCTTGAGACGTTACTTTCTATCCCTTTGTTTTCTTGTTAGGCTGTTGCCTTGGAGACATCTGAGCCGTTCTGCTCTCTCGTTGCGCCACGTCATCACCCCCCGATCCGCTGTAAATCGGCGTCCCGCAGCGAGTCCGCCACATTTTCCGCACTTCGGGGCCATTCCGGCTGTTGCCTTGGAGACATCTGAGCCGTTCTGCTCTCTCGTTGCGCCACGTCATCACCCCCCGATCCGCTGTAAATCGGCGTCCCGCAGCGAGTCCGCCACATTTTCCGCACTTCGGGGCCATTCCGGCCAGAACGACGTGAGACGTTGCCGAAAGGTGCTTGCCCTTTGCACCGTATCTCGAGGTTCGAGAACCCCATCCGCCAGACTGGCGACCTCAAGATTTACGCTGCCCAGCGCGCCTGGCTTCACTGCGTACCGTTTCTCACTACGCAGGTAGGCAAGAGAACCAGAACTCGCTTGGCAGGGTGTTTGGGTTGCTGCTGGGAGCCCGCCAGGCAGTGTGCCGCGCACGGCGCACTTGTGATGCACGTGGCGAGTGAACTAATGACACAGCTTTGTGATCGGGGCCGTGCTCAGGGCCGCTTGACTGGGCATGCGGCACCATCATGCCGCATGGCTTCTCGAACCGGCGGCACCCGGTGTGCCAAACAGTGACGCTGCGCCGACAATTCTGCGGTTACTGACCTTGCACATATGCGCATACGCACGCGCGCTCCGCTTTACCCCATGTGTGCAGGACTCTGCTGCCGTCGCCTGCCGCGCGTCCGCGCAGCTGCCACCCACCCTGCAAAGGTGCGAGCCTAGCTGCTTGTTTGCTACGGTTCCCTGCTGCTAGTTGAAGGGGGTGGACAAGCCCTGCCCTGGGCCGCTCAGGGCTGACATTGGCGCAAGCGTGCATGCCGCCTGCCTCGCTTGAGAGCCGCAATTCTAAATTATCAGAAGGCCGTCGTAGCGACACTTGCAGCCTTAGGAGGCGACCTCAGCAAGAGGGAGACTGCGGGCCACGTGGCCTTGCAGCACGGCTTCTGGCACGTCGCCTCGTTATCCGCATGAGCAGGCTCGTCATTTGGTACAGAGCGGGGGCGGCCGGCGGGGCTCACTAAATGACCTTTGTGCCGCCGGCGCCGCCGCCGGCGCCGCCGCCGTCACCACCACCGAGCGTGCAGCCCTGCTCGCCTCGCCCTGCCATGGCCGCTACTCGACGCAATTCCCTGCTTTCTGAACCATCTGAAGTCCTCCCACAGGAGTGCACTTCGCTTGCTTTCCATCTGAGACTCTGCACACTGCTTTGCTGCCTTCACACCAGCGACGCCCGCCCAAGCCAGCTCAACAGCTCACCCCTAGTTTTACTGATTCCCTCATGCATCCCTCATGAATCATCCATACATATTTAAACTTCCCAGAGCACACAACCGGCGGCAGCTCCCACCAACAGCAGCGGGGCTTAGCAGGCAGAGCAGGCGGCTCACCTGATTGCGGGACCCACCTTCAATTTAGTCTCATGGCTGTCATATCCAATCCAGCACAACGTTTTGGGCAGGGCCTTCACATGCTCTGCGGGCAATTCGCGGCTTCTTCTATGCGACGCCGCCGGCTGGATGCTGACACTCCCACGATGCTCTGGAGCCTGCCACCCTCGCGTCCAACCTACATACGATTCATGAATGCCTTGCATACCTTTCGTTGGCAACTACAAAAGTCTGCGTGTGCGTGATCACCAAGGTGAGCTTGTGGGTGGATTGGTGGCGGCGGCGCAAGGGGAGGAGGCGGGCCCTCGCGAACAGCTGCTGTTCAGGGACTCGGGAGCAGCCGATGCGATTATTTTCACGTCCTGAAGCTAAATTGGAGGCGTGAAAGGCCAATCGTGCACGTGGGAAGAGAGAGCCTCCTACCCCTGCGCCTCCGCCTGCCCTGCTGGCAGCGAGGGTTGGGGATTGCAGAGAGCTCCTGAAGGCATTCCATTCAGCCCAATTGGCTGTCCATAACATCCGTGACGTTTTTGCCTGCCCCTGGCCGCCTGCGACACTGCTGCACCCGGCCTCCCCAAACCACAGCGCTGTCGCCCCAATTGCCGCCTCGCGGCAGTTGAAAATTGGTGGGCATGGCACAGGAGGATGAGGACGTGTACTCACAGCTGATCGCAGCTAGGGGGGGCTTGTCAGAGGACCTCCGCCACGAACACCCGTTGTTGGGGCGAGGTGGGCTGCACAGGACGCCAGAAGTGTTCTCATTCGGCCTACAATCGAGTGGTCCACGGGAAGACAGCGGGGGAGCGCTGAGCTCGTCACGTGAGTGGGGCCCCGGCCATGCACATGGCGACCAAACAACCAGCACAGTTTGCATTCCTCTGCGCTTTGCGTGGGTTGGAAACCTCTCACGGGACCACCATCATGCATATGCAATGACCAGCGGATGCCTGCACGGCGCGGTCAGGCGGCCTGGCCTGCCGCCGCCGCTGCCAAGCGCCCCCCGCCGCTGCCGCCGCCGCTTCACATGCAAGCAGGCTGACCGCTTGCCTGTGCCCTGTGGCTGCTGCAGCTAGCTTCCTCACCTTGCTGCTCACCGGATGCATCCTCATGGCGACGTGCGTCTGGATTACCTTGGCGATGGTGCAAGTGCGGCGCGCCAACCGGTTGCGTGCCCAGGCGCTTCAAGGTGCGCCGGCGGCCGGGCAGGGCAGGTTTGCTCATTCCCTGTCAACAGATCGCAGCAGCTGCTGCAGCTGCGTGGCTTGCACATGGGCTGCAAAAGGGGTGCCCTGCTGTTTGTGCTGCACAACCCACATGGTTGAATGCCGGGCAAGGCAATTGCGCTAGCACAACGACATGCATGCACCCCTCCACGCGCACGCATGGTGCATGCATGCATGCATGCATGCACTGTTCAGTGCCCGTGCACTGGCTCTTGGGTTGCGGCAGCCTGAATCCCCGGTTTGCACCACGCCGCACCGTCTGCACCACGCCGCACCGCCGCAGATCTGAGCGCCAAGCGTGCGGCTCAGGCGTTCACGGTGCCTGTGGTAGTGATACAGCCCGACGACAGCATGCATCTGGGTGCCAAGGTGCCTCCCGCAGACTGCAAAGACACCGGGTAAGTGTGGCTGAGCTTTTGCTGTGTTCTTGTTGGCAGCGGTTGCCGTACGCAGGCAGGCAGGCAGGCGGGCAGGCAGGCAGGCAGCAGGCACAAGCTGCGTACCGAGCCGCTGCCGGTACACGCGTTGTCGCTGGGGATGGCTGCCAGTCCTCTTAGGTTACAGCGTGTGCTGCAGCTGGGCCCCGGTCGCCTTGCTCTGCCTGCCCCCCGCTGTACCAGCCTCTGATGCTGCTACTGCTGGTGGTGCCTGCCTGCTGCGGTGCAGGCCTCCCGCGCGGCAGGCCCCATCCACGCCGGTGTCCACCAAAGGCTGCTGCGACATGGGAGGCCCCGGGCCGTAAATGCGTGCAGCCCAGCAGCAGCGGCTGCCGCGGCGGCAGGCGGCAGCTGCAGCTTTTTCATCACGATTGCACGGCTGCAGCATGGGTGGTGCTGCAGCACAGCGCAGCGCGCTGCAGCGAGCAGGGTCAACGTTGTGACCTCGGCGCTTGGGGCTGGAGCCACGTCAGGGGCCTCCAGCTATTGTACTTTGTTTCAGATTTTGCACAGATCGACCCCCATCATATTGCCCCCAACGCAGACCAAACAGCCTGGGCGCCTGTGCTGCATTGCGGCCGCTGGCGGCCGCTGGTATGCGCGCCACTGGCATGCATTTGGGGCCAGTTTGCAACGCCCCCAAATGCATGCCATGCGCCCGCGCATGAACTGCTAGAAACCCCTCACCCTTAGAGATCCACACAGCAGACCAGGTTGTCTTCTGCACCTCGATGTTTCCGATTGTTCGGCTGCCCGGGCGAGGATGGATCGCTTTTGCTTGCGCGCATCCATCCTACCTGCCGCAAGCCTGTTTTGCGACCATTCCCCATTGTTGTGACCATTCCCCGTTGTTGTAACCATCCATAGATCACCTCAAAACTGTAACATTCTTTCAGGGACCGTGCAGGCAGAGGACCGGAGGGTGCACAGAGCGGCGGCCAACACGCGTCGGCGGCGGAAGGGCGCCGAAGCGGCGGCAACAAGGGGGCATACAGGGGGCTTCCCAGCTGGCTCGCTTTCGCGTCAGGACACGATTTCTGGGCCGAGCGGCACTGTATAAGCGATACCGAGGGAGGCAGCAGGGCGGCATTTAACCTTTGGAAAGCGCGAAAGCGCACGGTGAAAGGGCAGCGGGGGGAGAGCGGGGGGCTCGTTCCACCCCCGTCAATCCACGCGCACTGTACCCACCTTCATTTCTGCGCAACAAAAGACCTGCGGGGCCCCTTCACCCGTGAGTGCGCCACCCCAACCCTCGCTTCTGCCGCCCCTGCGCTCTCGGCGGGCCCCCACTGAGCCTCAGGTTGTTGCTGGCCGCACTGCAGGGCCCCACACGGCCCCCCATCTGCCAGTTCCACGACCCACCACCGGCCCCTGGCGCCATGACTAGCCATTCCCTGCAAGCCTCGAGTCACTCACTGCAGGCGCCCTTTGTGTCGGGCGCCCCCGGCCCTCCCGGCTCATACAGGCGAGTTCCGCGCCTCGCCGAAATCTTTTTGCTCGCTGCTTTTCCCGTGAGGGGCTCGGAGACCCTCCCCTGCGCGTTCTCCCAGCCTTGGCCCCGCGACGACCGCCGGGGTGCCAGCAGAAACGCATAGGTGCACGTTCGCCTGATCAGCCAGACCTCGCCCCTTTGCTGTTGCAGGCCGGCCGGCTACCTCATCAAGGAGGAGGAGGAGGAGGAGGAGATGTTTTACTCCGCGCCCGGGCGCGGAGAGCCAGGTGGGGAGAGGGCTGGCCCCTGCGCGCTGACCCGGTCCCGCGCGGCCGCAGCCGCCGCCGCGGCCCACAGCTGGCCCGCTCAGCCGACCGCAGACCGCCCCCTTCTCCCTCCTGCCCCTGCAGACGACCTGGGCGACCTCATGCAGGAGATGCGTGAGGGGGCAGCCTGGGTGGAGGGCCTGGCCATGGATTGCGAGCTGCCCAGCGGCTCCAGCCCCTTTGGCTCCTCCCCTAGCGCCACGCCCCTGCCGCCGCCCCCGCCCTCGCGCCTGGGCATGTGCGCGGCAGACGTGCCGGGCAGCGCGGCGCCCCCTAGCGCCGACGCCGGCCCCAGCCCCTTCCCGCTGCCCGAGTTTGCCCAGAAGCAGCCCGCGGAGCAGCAGCAGCACGCGGCGGCGGCGGCGGCGGCGCAGCGCGAGGCTGAGGAGCAGGAGGCGCCGCTGCAGCCCTCCATGGCCGCCAAGCTGATGCACCCGGGAGCGGCGCGCGGCGGGCGCCTGGGTGGCGCCGCCTCTGGCGCTCTGCCGCTCACCCAGTCGGGCCACATGATCCCGGTCTCGCTGCCCGGCGTGGGCTGCGAGGGCGAGTCGGAGCCGCAGCCGCTGCCGGCGATGGCGGGCGGCGCGGGGCTGGGCGCGCCCCCGCCCCGCGCGCCGCAGCAGGGCTCCTGGCTGCCGCCGCCGCTGCCCTACCACTGCTGCCCGGGCGCCTCGCCCTCGCCCCAGCCCCCCGGCGCGGCCGCGGCGGCCACCATGCAGGCCGCGGCCTTCTACGGGCAGCAGCCCCCGCAGCAGCCGCAGGCGCGCCCCGGCGCCTCGCCCTCGCTGGCCGGCTTCCAGACCGCGCCCCCCGCTTTCTTCCACCAGCAGCAGGGCATGGCGCACCTGGTGCCGCAGGACGCGGCCGGCTACGACATGGCGCAGCTGCTGTCGGGCGTCCCGCAGGGCGCCAGCTTCCAGGTGGGGCGCGGGCCCGGTACCGGCAAAACCTTGCAGGGGGCAGCAGCAGGGACCCGCTTCCAGCGCAGCCTGCTCCACTGGGCGGCTGCTGCCGGCTGGCAAAGGCACCGCCGCCGAAAGCCTGCGTGCCGCTCGGTTGCTGACGCATCGCTGCGCCCCGCGCATGCCGCACCCTGCGCCGCAGGTCCCCGCAATGCTCATGACTGTGCCGCAGCCCAACTCCTCCGGCGGCGGCTCCGGCGACGGCTCTGACGGCACCAAAGTGCGCATGCGCAGCAGCTTCGACGGCAACTCGGGCAACGACAGCGGCAGCGGCGGGCGCGGCGGCTGCGGCGGCACGGCCGCCGCTGACGCCGGCGGCGCCGCAGGCGGCCGCGGCCCGCGCCCCTCCGCCAGCGGCGGCGCCGCGGGCGGCGGCGGCTCCTACTGCGACGCCCCCAGCGAGTCGAGTGACGTGGAGGACAACAGCAGCATGGCGTGCCAGCACAGCGGGGCGCAGGCAAGCTCGCGGTGCCGCAGCAGCCGGGGAGGAGCGCCCCACGCCGAGACGCGCTTGCTGTGCTGCCCTGGCAACAGGCTCCTCAGCCTGCCGCTTCCGGCCGGCGCCTGCGCTCACGCCGCCGCTGCCCCTCGCCCCGCCCGCCCGCAGGTGGTGCCCGACTGCGGCTTCCTGCCCAGCGGGCCCTTTGGGATGATAATGCCGCCCATGGGCATGCCCGCCGGCTGCCTGCCAGACGGATCCGCCTTTGCCGGCTTCCCGCCCATGCCCGCACCCTCCGCCTTCTACGGCGCCGACTCTCCGGCCGCCCAGAGTGAGCCCGGGCCGCCAGCTGCCGCCTCTGCCTCGGCCCCGGCATCCCCTGCTTGCTGCCCCTTTCTCTCCCTCCCTGTTTCGCCTGCAGCAGCAGCGGGGGGCAGCCGAAGAGCGCTTCGTGCCTTACGGCGCAATGCGTATGCTAACCCTGCCCGCACCCCCCCCCCGCTGCAGCCGCGCGCCTGGCGCGCCAGAGGAGCCTGGAGCGGTACCGCCAGAAGAAGGCGCGGCGCGGCTTTGGAAAGAAGATCCGCTACCAGGCGCGCAAGGTCAATGCTGACAAGCGCCCGCGCGTCAAGGTGGGGCCAGCGTTCGCTTCTGCACCCAGCCCGCAGCACAGGACCCCCTCTGGCCAGCTGCTGCCTGTCTTTGGTGTGTGTTTGGCAGACGTCTTCCTTGCCTCTGCCGCGGCTGAAGAGTGTGCGCATGCCCCGCTGCCCCTCTGGCGCCGCAGGGCCGCTTTGTCAAGGCGGATGAGGGCGCCGCCATCCTGGCTGCCGCTGCCGCCTCTGCGGGCGCCGTGCCCACTGGCGAGCCATCCATTTGCTCCGACTGAGCCTGCGCGCCTGGCGCAGCAGCCGGCTGGCGCCCAGCGCCACGCGGCGGGCGCGCCTGCGCAGCCCGCCCGCCCCAGCGGGCCTCCTTTCTTCCAACTTGCGAGGCCGCCCGCTCACCAACGAATGTCGCCAGCCCGCTCATTGCCCCCTGACGGTCCGTCACTGTTCCCCCTCTGCCATTTTACACTGAACGGTGGCCCCTACTAATATGTTGATGCCCCCACACGCATGTGTATGTGACGCACGAGTCGACCCTCTTCTTCCAAAAGGAAGCTCTGCTGTTTTGCACTGCAAACCCTTGCAGTTGCGCCTGTCCCCCTGCGCCCCTCCCTGATGTTGCTGTTCACACCCTGTTTATTCTTTGGCTCACTGGAGCCGCCTGTCCATTGGTCCCCCCAATGTTTTTGGTTTTCCCGGAGGCCAAACTGCTGGCCCGATTGCTATTTTTTCGCCCGCCCCTCGGAGCGCAGCGCGGCGTGCCGCCTGCACCACCCTTTCTGCGGCGTGGCCCATACATACCCCAGGTGCCGAGAGCTGCTGGCCTGCCTGCCAGCCAACCCACGCCCGACCCCGGCCGTAACACAGCCGCGAGGCCCTTCTTTTCTTTTCCTGCCCCCTTAATCCTTGCCCCCATGAAGCTGGCTGGACCCCGCTACTCATGCAGCCTGGGGCCGGCGGCGGCCCTGATAATGATATCAACGAACGCCCCCTCCCTACCTAAATGCCCCACCGTACGAGCCGCCCTCCTTCCCTGCCCTCTTTTTTGGCGCCAGCCTGTGCACCAGGTTCCGGCCGCCCCGGCGACGCCCCGCGCTCGCCGGCCTCGTTTTGCCCTCCCCATTGTTTGTTTTTGGAAGCACCATGCAGCAGCATGCATTCTGCTGAAATTTCCCCCTGTTTGGTTCTGTCCCGGGGCTCCGGCCCCGCCACACCCCACCTGGAGCGTCCTCCAGCCTGCTAAGACTGCCCCCCCCCCCCCAAAGTCTTGCATCTCGCCCCGCCTCCCCCGGGGGGGGGGGCTGTTCATATCCGTGGAATGCTTGCCATTCCCGCTGCCCCCAGCCTTCTGGCCTGTGCTTGCTGGCGGCGCACATTTCAGCTCGCAGTATCCGCCCATGTAGCCCCCCTACCTACCTCCCATTTCGCATGCCTGCTTGGCTTCATTTCATCATGTGTTTGCCGGTGCCTACACGCAGCACTGGCGCGGCCGGGGCACCCCCCCCCCAACACCACCTACCCATCCTTCTCTCCCCTCCTGCCCCCTTCGCTTTGATGCCCACACACACAGCCACCTGCAGGCACCCGCGGGGGTGTGACGGCGCACCGCGCCTCCGCCCCCCCTCCTTCACACCCATGGGCCCTCTCTCTCCCTGCCGTCCACGAACCTAGACCTTTCATTCCTTAATAAACCGAGTCCAAGCATGTAACTGAATGATGAGAGCAGGTCAGCTGTGAGGGAGGCGGCGCGGCGATCAGGGGGGCTGCAATCGGGGTCCCGGCGGTGACGCCAGCAGCAGCGCCTCCTCCCCTTCCGCGCCCGCGCCCCGCGGCCGCCGCCGCCACGCCTCCCGCTGCTGCTGCAGGTGCCAGGGGGTGGGGAAGGAAAGGCCGTCGCCCTGCGCCGCCGCACGCCCCGGCACCAGCCAGCACGCGGTGCTGTCGCCGCACACGCTGTGCAGGTTGTCGTGCCAGCCCAGGTCAAAGGGGTGTCTGCCGCCGCCGCCGCCGCCGCCGCCGCCGCCGCCGCCGTTGCCGCCGCCGCCCGAGGCCATGTATTGCGCCACCACCCCTGCACACAGCAGCAGCAGCAGCAGAGGCAGCATGGCAGCCCGGGCTGAGGAGCGCTTGGGCAGGGATGCAGCGCCTGGAGGGGCCCTAGTGCCATCCAGGCAGCAGGCAGCCAGCCAAGAAGCGGAGCCGCCAATGAGCACGACAGGACAGCAACGTCGGCAATCCTGCCCACACAGCGCACCCCACCTTCGTGGTACTCTATTGTGGTCTGGTTGCGCAGGAACAGCACCCCATTCCACACCAGCAGCACCACCAGGCCGGCAGATACGGGCAGCGCCAGCGCCGTGGCCAGCGCCTGTGCAGAGGCGCCGGCGGTGGCGGCGCAGGGTGGCGCGGTGTGGTGCCACACGCATGCTGAGGGGAGGCGGGTTGCGGGCCCGCCTACAGCCGTCAGCAAAACATGCAAAGATGCAGGCCTGCGACACCCAAGCGCCTCACCTGCACAGTGCCGTGCAGCCAGAAGGCGCCCTCCCACCCCGTCCTGCCGCCCATGCCGCTGCCAGCCGGCGCCTCCTCAGCGCCGCCGCCGCCGGGGAGCCGCTTGGCTTCGCCGCCGCCGCCGCCGCCCGCTGCCGCCAGCAGCCGGCTGCCCTCGTCCCACCCCAGCGCAACCTGCGGGCGCGGCGGGCCGGGAACGGCGGGGGCTGGCGCATTCAGGCAGGCAGGCGGTGGTCGGGAGGCTGCATTCATTCCAGCCATCCTACACACCAGCAGGCGCAGCGCAGCGCCGCACCGCCCGCCCTCCTCACCTGCACCAGATGGGCGTCCATCCTGAGCAGCAGGGCCAGGGCGTGCAGGCAGGCGGCTGCCAGGTAGGCGCACATGAGGAGGAAAGCGCGGTAGTTGAGATGGCCGATGCAGTTGTTGACCCACACGCTGCACATGGCGGGGGAGGCGGGGAGGCGCGGCGCGCAGCGTGGAGAGGAGCGGGCAAGAGGGAAAGGGAGAGAGTGTGTGGCCTGGTGTAGGGTGTAGGGAGGGCGCCGAAGGGAACGGCTGGGATACTGCGCAGAGACGGATGGGCGAGCTGCGGAGGGCTGGCGCCGGGGGTGTGCCGCGGCCCCGCCCAACATCACCACCCTGCACCATCCCCCGCTGGCGAGCCACAGCCGGCCAGGCGCCGCGCCGCCAGCCCAGCCCGCCGCCCGCTCACCAGTGATGGTCCATTCGCAGAATGCAGCGGCCGCAGCGGCGGCAGTGGTGCGTGCGGGGCGGCTTGTATGCCTGGCACTTCTTGCAGAACCTGCGGGCGAGGTGGGGTGGGCGCCAGGGGCTCAGCGGGCGAGAAAGCGCCCAGCCCTGGGGCAGGACAGGGACGTGGTCGTGCCCCCCAGCGGCAGCGGCAGCAGCGCCCACCCACCGGCTGCCGCCGCCGCTGCGCTTGACTTGCAACACCGCTGCCACCGCCTGCTGCTCGGGGTCCGGCTGCCAGTCGGGCGGCACGGTGCCTGCGGCAGGCACGAGCGGCAGGCGGGCGGGGCTAGGCTGGCTAGTAGGCACTTGGTCCCCCTGATACACCCCTCCTTTCCGCTGAGCCCGATGGGCCGTGCTTCCTATTGAGAGCCGAACCTCCTGCTTCCCCACCACCCACCTGGATCGCAGTACACGCACTGCAGGTAGGTGGCGGTTGCCAGGGCGGTGAGAGCAGTGAAGATGAGCAGGTGGCTGGCGCCATGCACCGAGTAGCCCAGGTGGGGCACGATCTGCGGGAGGCACAAGCCGGGGGAAGAGGGCACTGGTGGGTGCTACTTCGGCAGCACTAAAGTCGTGGAGCCGGCGGGCACACGCAGCCGGTGGCGGTGGCGTGACAGCTCCAGAGTGCTTCTGCGCCCTGGCAGCACGCTGCAGCCACTTGCTACGCACCACGTTGAGGGTCACGGCCAAATACAGGAAGGCAATGGTCCCCAGGCAACCAAGCGTGGTGGCGTTCATGCAGCGCGGGCTTGCCTCCGCCATCTGGGCTCCCCAAAGCCCCCTAGCGTGCTGCTCAGGTCAAAAGAAGTGCGCGAGAGGGAGTGCAGAGGCCCAACACCAAATTTAGTTGCTGGGAGCTGCCAGCAGCGTAGGGATGGCGGCTGCTGCCTCTCCTGCACGCCGTGGCGTTGCAAGAGCAGCGCTGCAAGCGTTAGCTGCCAACCGCCAAATGGCCCCCGCCGCCATGTCACCGCCCGCCTGTGCCGCGGCATGCCGCCGCGTGGCAAGGTGCAGAGGAGGAGAAGCTTTGTGTGGGCTGTGGAACCGCAGGCTGCTGGACTGGGAGAAGATCCCATCCACGCATGCACCAGCGGTGGCAAAGCTGCTGTTCTGTGTGATGCGCGCAGAGGGTTGCTGCCAACCACGACCTGGCACCTCCCATGCCAGCTAGTTTCCCAATCAAGTGTGGCAGCGCGAGGTTACACCGAAGGAGGTAGAGATGAATAAATACAACGATCTGGATCAGTTTGGGTGGGCGTTGAGTTTGGCATGGAGGCAATCACTGGAAACACAAAGATATTGAAGGGCATCACGCTGGAAAACACAGCAGAACTCAGGCTTGCTGCATAGCTTATCGTTCAGCTCCATAAAGAGCTGCATGAGGACCAGAGCCGTTGGCAGGCTTCTTGGCTCACTGCGCCGCCACCGCCGCCAGGCACTCCCGCTGGAAGGGCTGCCACACGTTGCGCTCGTACTTGGCGGCGTGGCGGAACAGGATCCAGCGGATGAAGAAAGGGATGCCCTCCTGGGGGGCAAACGCGCGGCGCTCTGCCTTGGTCATGGGGGGCAGGGAGGGGCCCACGCCCTCGCCCTCCATGGCTCCCATGGACTTTTGCACCACGTTGCGCTCAATCTCCTTGGGGGTGAAAGGGCGGCGCATCAGCGGCATCGCCTCCTCCTCCTCCTCCCCGCAGGTGCTCCAGCAGCATGGACTGCAGCGCAGCAAAGACGTCCTGCGGCAGCACGAGGGAGGCAGGGCATGGGAGGGTAAGCATGCAGGATGTGTCACATTGCAACATGCCAAGCGCTGGCTGCACACCACTGTGCTGACACATGCACCCCAGCATGCACCCCAGCAGTACCTCCAGAGGGAGGCACGCCAAGCCAGCCGCCTCGGCTCTCCTCACCTTCAGGTGCGCAAGCTCCTTGCGCTGCACAATCACCAGGGCGCTGCGCACGAGGGCGCTGTCAGCCAGCAGCGCCTTGGTGGCCGCCTCAAAGCGCTCCAGCAGCGCCTGCTCAGGGGGAGAGGGGACGGTGCAGCAGGCGGCAGGGTGAGGGACGGGCGGGCTGGCAGGAAGGGCCGGCCGGCGGGTGTGCTTGGGAGCAGCAGGGATGCAGGGCAACCAGGTGCATGTAGCCAAGTGCGCATCCCAGCCTGCCCTCCACCAGCCCTCCTCACCTCCAGCTGTGTGTGGTCTGCCGCAATCTTCTCCGGCACCGTGCAGCGGGTGGCCAGGTAGGGCGTGGCGATGTCTGCGGCAGCAGCGGCAGCAGGAGTGGGAGGAGGCCGGGTCAATGTGTGGTGGGCTTGGTGGTAGGCACCCCTCTGCCTGCGGCTGCAGTGCAGACCCAGGTGTCGCCGCCGCAGCAGCGCGCAGCTCACCATCCTCGTTGTGGTGGTGGTGGTGCAGGAACTTGAGGAAGCACTGCACAAAGCGGGTGGCGGCTGCGGCCTGGGAGCGGCTGATCGCCGTGCCGGCGTCCAGCTGCTGCTCGAAGGACTGCAGCATGCTGGCCAGGGCATCCATGTCGGCCCGCAGAGCGTTGTGGGCGCGGAACCAGCCTGCAAGGGGATGCGCAAGGGGTGAGTTGCGGGAGGGAGGCTGCCGCTGGCAGCCTGCATGCCCGGCGACCAGCCCCGGTTGCTCACCGTCGCTCTCAAGCGGGTAGGTCCAGAGGGAGGTGCAGTCGGCAAGGGGAGCCACCTTGTGAGACAT